GTTATTGGGGGTTATGGACCCCGCCAAAGTTTTGCGGGGTACCGACGAACCGCCGACCGGTAGGTGCTGACGGGTGGAACGGTTGGCTGGTTGGCAGCCGACCAATCCAGGGGCACCAACTGTCGCCGTGATTACTCTGACGCAGGGTCATTTTCATGCCAAGTACACCTGATATGAGCCCAAAAGTCTATTCAGACGAAGACATTTCCATGGCGATAGCATGTCCCGCATGCAGAGAGGCGTATTTTGCCTGTCTGTGGCAACTACGGAGGGATGGACTTCATTCCTTGCAGAGGAGGGCTCTATTCCCCCTGGTGACAAAAAGAAACCGCATGAGACCACCATGTTCCCAAACAAAGGCCAAAAAAAAAAAAAAAAAAGGAAACCGCTCCCCTTCTTCCCTGCTTTGCAGAATCGATGCAGATGCCATATCATCAACACGAAGAATTTTCACAGGGCAAGCAAGCGTTGAAAAAAAAAAAAAAAAAAAACTGGCAAATATTCTACCTACTCTACCAGCACTGGCACAAAGTCTACCACCGCCAACGTGGCAGTAAAGCGAAGAACAACGTGGCAGTTCTCCTTCACTTCACTTCAATCAACCAACCAAAAACTGCCACGTCAACACGTTGCTCTCCACTTGCAGATAATCCTCGTGGACCTGTTTTGACTCTCTGCAACCTGAGATTACCACCCAAAAGTTTGGCTGGACCGAGCTGGCTACGACGCCCCCTCGATACTGTCCTAAAATTCGATAATTTTTTAAAATTTTTAACATACCCCTGTCAAGCACGCGGCAGATGATACGAGTTGACCTTCAATTGCTTCAAAGACTTCAAAGATGAAGTTTGAAACTGCCAGAAACAACATCCGAGTTTTCGAAACTACAGTTCATTAAAACAGAAAGCGAGGAAGTGGTGAAACAAAGGAAAGAAATGATAGATTGCAAGACAAGAAGATCATGTCAAAGATGCAGAGGAGAGTGACAGAGAATCATGACCTCGGCAGAATACTTGATGGCGACTCCAATGCCTGCACGGTCAGCCAGTCAGCCAGCCACAAAAGAGATGACCGCAAAAGATCAATCCATTATAATTCTCTAAGTTATAATAACGAAACAACAAAACAAAGGAAAGGCCTCTACCTGCTTCCAAACTCCCTTAACGTGTAAGCGCCAAATACAGGCAAGATGTTCACACCTCAGAAGTTTAGACTGCAATACACTCATCAGCCATGGCATCCCCGTCAACGCACTCAGACCACGGTCAACATGGAGAAACATAACTGAACCAGTTTGGAAGCCTGCATCTCAGCCTAAGCTGTTCACGTGTCTAATGCAAAGCTATTGTATAGTCAGGGGCGCGGGCCCCGCACGTAAAATCTCCAAAGTGACTAACAGGACACCTAACTTCAGAAGCATACCAATTTGTCGAATCTGTTACAAATGTAGACTGATTATGTTTCTAGATTTAGACTTGTCCGTCCTCCGGGGCATCCGTTAAAATTGGAACGATACAGGGAAAGATTAGCACGGGCCCTGCACAAGGATGACACACATAAGCGAAAGAAAGAAAATGGAAATCTCAAATTTGACAGGCTTGCCACGCAAACCGAGCACTTTAGGAACCAAGCTGGGACACAATCACCAGGTGACCATTTATGACAGTGCAGAGCCTGCAGACTACATGAAACAATTATTACAGAAATGGAAAGACAGCCAGATACAAAATGTGTGCTGATTTAATGTGATTGAATGCTATGTTTACTACTACTATTCTGTTTCCTTGAGTACCCAAAAAAGTTGAAAAAAACAAAAAAAACTTTAAAAAACTTTAAAAAGGAGGGAAGGGGGGAGGGCGGGGAGGAGGTGAGAGGGGAGGAGCGGGGGGGAGGAGGGGGGAAGGGTACCCTCTAACTTTATTATATAATCCATCTGATAAGCCAGCATTCGACCTCATAATCTGTTTATCATCAGTTACATGTGTGTACCATTCAGCCGCATGGACTGGTCATGCTGTTTCTTTTTCTTTTTCTTTTTCTGTTTCTTTTTCTGTTTCTTTTTCTGTTTCTGTTTCCGTTTCTGGTTCTGTTTCTTTTGTGCCGCCTGTTTCTGGCTTCCTGTCAACTTTGTCCTTTTCGCCTACTCTGACTTTCCACCGTTTCCAGTTCAGTACACTTTCAGTTGTATTCCCCACTTCATTGGCCATCTCCTCTTCCTTCTCCTCCTCCTCCTCTTCCTCCTCCTCCTCCTCCTACTCCTCCTCCTCCTCCTCCTCCTCCTCCTCCTCTGTTGTCTACGCCTTATCGGCAAGTGGACATGACCATGCTGCTTTACGTAATGGCAGACTAGTAACAGCGGGTGCCAGGTTGGTTTAAGAAATTGAATCATTCATGAGTTAATTCCATGTTCATGACAGCCGTTTGGTGTTATCGAGTAAAAAAGAAGGGAACTCAAGTTTGGTAGCAGGAGAGACAGCGCATAACACTCTCCCATCACCCCCCGAGAGAGAGAGAGAGAGAGAGAGAGAGAGAGAGAGGGAGGGAGGGAGGGAGGGAGACATACCCATCAAGTGACGAACTGCATCAAAGCAGGCATCACACACATGCTTCAGATACTGCTCATCCTTCTCTGCAGCTCTCATAATTTCAGGTTGTGCCGCAGTTGGAAAAGACACACTTGTTGAAGGCATGGCCTCCGCATCCCTTCTCTCCTGTGAAAGACGGGCCGCTGCAGCCAGCGAGGCCGTCACGGCCATCCTTGACATATCCATGTTCCTGCACAAAGTCAGAGAGACACGCAACCTCAGAAAACCACGAAATCAGAAAATATATCAAAGAAGAGCCCATGCCCAAAATCGATCTGCGTAACTGCAAGGACTCCACAACCCAATTTATCGAATTGGGGTCTTGTGGGGGATAGAAAGATAGCCAAAATTGAGGACAGCAAGATCAAGTTCCAGTGGCAGTCTAAGGATGCAGAAGAACGGAGGGAAGGGAACCAGAGGGTTCAGCATGGGCTGGGTGTGTAAGGAGTATAGCAAGCCTTCAGTTTCAGTATCAGTTTCAGTATCAGTTTCAGTATCAGTTTCAGTATCAAGGATCAGTACCAGTTTTAGTTTCAGTATCAGCACCAGTATCAAGTTTCAGTACCAGTTTCAGTATCAGTTTCAGTATCAATTTCAGTATCAAGGTTCAGTACCAGTTTCAGTTAGTTTCAGTTTCAGTATCAGTATCAGTATCAGTATCAGTATCAGTTTCAATATCAAGTTTCAGTATCAGTTTCAGTATCCAATAGGTAGTTCCATTAGGTATAGTTGGGCTCAGCTATGAGTTGATGCTCCAACTGAAAGGCATTTCACGATGCAGACCCCAGATCCAGATTCCAGGGTCAAGAGCCCCAAGTCAAAAAGGCCACATCGGCCGGATTCAGAAAGGTTAAGTCGGGTACCCCAGCGATCAAGTCCAACCGGTACCCAGTCAACAGTCACATCCCAGAGGCAAAAGTCATGTCTCATAGTCAAAGGTCATATCCCACTGGCAAGGGTCACGTCCCACAGACCAAAAAGCAGCAGCACACCAAGGAAAACTCAGGGAGGTACCGGGCCTCAACATTCCAGAAGCAATATAGGGACCGGGTCCAAGTCAAGCCAAGAGAAGCAGAGGCTGGGACAAGTCAAGGCCCAGTCCAAGTCAATATAGGGACCGGCCAGCCACATTTGGAACAGATTGCTCATTCACGAGAAGTGTGGAAGTGCTGCTCAGCGCTTGTGTGCTATCAGCGAGTTGGCATGCGCTAGAGCCCTGGCTGGGCAGCGCTGCGTTGTGGAAGAAGGCGGCCATAGCCGCACAGCATAGTAGGAGTAGAGCCAAGTAGCAGGCGGATGTATCCAGAGTCGAGATCTTCATGGAGAGAGAGAGAGAGAGAGAGAGAGAGAGAGAGAGAGAGAGAGAGAGAGAGAGAGAGAGAGAGAGAGAGAGAGAGAGAG